CATATAAGAATATACCCTGGCTTAATTATTTGGAATTCAACTTGTAGTACCTGGACGTTATGTGGCACACCAGAATATCTGGCGCCGGAAATTATTCAAAGTAAAGGTCACGGAAAACCCGTGGACTGGTGGGCGTTAGGAATTCTAATATTTGAAATGTTAGCAGGGTAAGAAAACAATTATATACATACATACATACATATATATATTTAAAAAAAAATAAAATAAAAATTGAGTTTTTATATTAACTGAAATTTACTGAAAATTTTGTTTCAGGTATCCTCCATTTTTTGATGATAATCCATTTGGCATTTATGAAAAGATTCTTGCCGGAAAGATACAATTTCCATCGCATGTTGATGCGAATGCTAAGGATCTCGTTAAACGTCTACTAACATCTGATCGTACGAAGCGACTGGGTAACCTTCGGGGTGGTAGTGAAGATGTGAGGAAGCATAAATGGTTCCGTGGTGTTGATTGGCAAGGATTATACGAAAGACGTGTACAAGCACCGATTGTTCCACCATATCAACATCCAGGTGATACTAGTAATTTTGAAAAATATCCTGAACCTTCAGATGAAGAGAATAATGTTAGTAGTCCAGGTATCTTGCCGGGCGTTGATCCTTATCGACATTTGTTTTTAAATTTTTGAAGTGGATCATCAAATTCAAAGAAAAAATCAATCAAGAATGCAAAAGTTTACACAGACAGACATCTATTGTTTCAATTAATAAGATGACAGATTCATGCTACATGAAATGTGAAATAAACTCTCATTTATGTACGCATAAAGATCTTTATTCCTTGTCCAGTATCTTGTTTTTTATGATTTAATGATTCCTTTCTCCTCGTTTATGATCACTGAGTATAGGTATTTTTCATGAACTTTATCTCCAATCGTAAATAATGGTGTTCAATGTTCTCGTCTTTAATGCATCATTACACGCGCGCTATGATGGATGCCTTTTATTATTGTCTTTTTTTTCTTTTTATTATTTTATTGTTTTCCTAATCGAGGCAACAAAGGGCGGAAAAAATATTTCACGCTGTGATGCAATCTTTTGGTGGATGGGTTTATCTAGGGATTGGAATCGGGTTAACCGACTAAAAAATATGTATAATAAACTACTATGTTTAGTCGACTAAACATAATAGTCGACTAAACCGATTCCAATCTCTAGGTTTAACGGTGCTATTTACGACGAAGCTTATGGAACGCCACGGATAATAAGATCGATCAAAAAAAATTTTTTTTCTCAGATCCTATATCACAAAAGTTTGAGTTTTGGATGTATGTTTATCACTTCTTGCATTTATTACTTTGTAAATTTTTTTTTTTTTCCTATTCACAAACTTTAATAATGGTGAACTTTCGCTGTTGGGCTTTAGAGACGTGATAACATATAATATAGGGTGACTATATTGGTTGAATAATGCCTATTATAGGAAAGTAGTTTTAATATGCGTAACAGCAAATATAATACCTCTGTTTCATCACTGAATAATTTAGTAATCTGAGTACGTACGTGACTGAAATGATTTCATGCTATTTCGAGGTTTCGACTCGCTTATCCATTTTTTCATGCATGTTATTGTTTTGTAACCATTAGATATGAGAGAATCTGATCTCATAGTCTCATAATAAATTGCATAATTTTCAATCTGACATTTGGGATTGTGTAAGCAAGAATCTTATTTGCATAATATCAATATTTATATTATTCTTGACATTTTTGAGATCAAAAATTTAATTTGCTAATTAAGATTTGTTACATATTAAAGCAATGAATATTACTCCATAAATTTGCTTTAAACTTTATACGTAAGAAATATAATAAATATAGTTAGCAATTCGTTTTATTCTGTAATACCAATACAGTTAATATTGAGATAATTTATGTAGCATATATAGAAGAGATAAGTAAATCACATGTGCAAAATTAACGATTTAATAATACGTAATAATTCTTAACTTTAACCCTCGATATGTATATGTGTATGAAGTTAAATATGAAGTCCCCTCATAAAAAATAAAACGGTTATTAGTGATTGCATGTATATATCATTAACCGTAAAAATTAATTATTTCATAGATAATATAAATATTATATACACTTGTATATACAGTATATATAAGTTAGTATTAGTGCAGAAATATATTAGCCATTATATTAGCCATTGTTATAATTAGATTATCATTATCTGTTATTGTATTACAATTTATCGAATAAAGATAAATAAATAAACATATATATCAGATACACAGACTACGTGTCATATTGGTCCTATTACAAAATATATAATTACTTTTTATAGTTATTTTAGAAGTAGATTAAGATATTGGTTTCACAAGGTGTATGATAGATATATGATGTATAATACATTGTTCTTTCAAGATTTACTTTAGAAGATGGAGCATAGGATTTTTATAATGAACTAATATATATATATATATTTAGTACAATTAAATATAGATCCCACACACTTAAATTTCGTACTGTATCAAAGGAGCGGTTAGAGATGTACCTTGCGCGAAATGATAAATAATTACACCTGCGATTTAACAAAATGACATCATTTTCTCATGCGAGATAAAATGATCGATTAAGGAATTTTAATGATCAACGATCTGTCAAATGTAAAATCTTTTTTAATAAAGAGGACTGGAGCAGAATGTAAGACCTTTCTAAATTCAGTCGTTTCCCGACACCTACACCTGGAATTATGATAAATTTGGTTTTAGCGTATTCTCTGTAGCGGTAGAAATTTTAATCAGAAATCCGATTAATAATAGTTATAGTTTTATGAATTTACTTCGCCTCTGTAATTTATACCGGGTGTTAGAAAAGTAACTAAACAGCCTTTTTTTTTAGTGTCCTTATTAGAAATTACGATGATTATTTATCGTTATTATCTATACATAAGGCACTAAAAAAAGGGGACTGTTTAATGACTTTTCTAACACCTGATATATTTATATGTTGAATAAAATAGATTAAATTTAAATGCACCTAACGCTAATTTGAAATACGTAAATCGATTTAATCATAGTATCTCGATTAAAGATTCTGTTGAAATTAAATTAGAGTGGTGAAAATTTCACCAATTACAATCAGTAATGGTGTAATTTGTAATTTGTGAATTGGCGTAATTGTTGTGTAACAGGCAAATTCGGTGAATTGGGAATTGGTGAAAATTGGAATGGTGAAACGCAAAATGATAAAATAGTAATTAGCAAATTTAATACGTAGTAGAAATTGTAGGAAGTTAATAAAGTTTTTTTATAGGGTTGGAATGCAGCTAGCTCAATTTCTATTTTTTTTTATCTATTTTGTAACTATCCTGATTCTATATGGTCTAGTTCTTTTAATTCTTTTTTGGCTTTTATTTATGATTTGTTAATAATTACTTTTTAGTAGAGTTTAGTTGTTTTGATTTTATTTATTAAATGTTTTTGGTTTTGAGTTTTTTTTGCTTTAGAATAATTTTATATAATATTTTATTTTCTTAAGCTAATATTTTTTTTATATATCTTTAGCTAGTGTTTGTTTAGAGATTTTTAGATATTATTTTTATATATATATATTTAATTACTATTTTTTAATTTTTTTTTTTTTGTATTGTTATAGAACAGTTTATTATTTTATTAGTTTATTATTCCGATATTGTATTTTATTATTTATTTTATTAT